TATATATATCAATGTGAAATTACAGAGTACCAATTTGAAAAGTTAAATTAATTGTGCATAACTTCGGAACCCACCAAGTCAATTTATTTTACCTTATTTTTTCGGGAGAAATTCAAAAATAACCAGATTTACCACTGGTCGTTGAAAAATAGTCAAGTTTCAAAAGTCATCGAAATTTAGCCACTTTAAATCTGAGCGAAAATACTGTTCAAAATCCGGAAAAATACGCCCGCAAAATTTATGGGAGTTCCAGCATAAGTATGCTTGAACTCTCGTAAATTTTACGGGAGTTCCAAGATAACTATGCTGGAACTCTCGCAAATTTTACGGGATTTCAAGTATAATTATGCTGGAACTCCCGCAAATTTTACGGGAGTTCTAGCAAGTATAATTGTCCAGTATAATATACTGGAGTTTGGAGCATTGGTGCTCCAGTCTCCCGCAAATTTTACAGGAGTTAGCAAAGTATACCGGTCCAGCATAATATGCTGGAGTTCGTACACAAATGCACCAGAACTCCCGTATATTATACTGGACCGGTCCCTGTTGCAGCAAAATAGTGGCTATTTTTTATTGACTTGATAAACGCTGACTATTTTTCATTGACCAGTGTGAAAACTGGTTATACCATGATATTTTAACTATTTTTTCCTCTCACTAAAAGAAGTACTCATTCTATTCTAAAAAGAACCCATAGAAAACCAAAACTACTAGCCTTTTGGCCAAACTTCTTTTTGGGCCAAAAGTATTTTTTTTTAGTTAAAAGTACTTTTTTCGCCAAAATTAAGGCGAGTGGCCAAACTTTTTGAAGGAAAAAGTAGTTTTGAGTAGAAAAAAGTAGCTTCTCTCTCAAAATATTTTTTTTGAAAAACACTTTTGAGAAAAATACACTCAGAAGCACTTTTTAAAAGTTTGGTCAAACAATAATTGTTGCTCAAAAGTACTTTTTAAATTAATTAGCCAAACATAAACTACTTCTCACCAAAAGTATTTTTTTGAAAATCGCTTTTCAAAATAAGTAGATTTTAGAAGCTCAGCCAAACATGCTCACCTTTATCTTTTTAACAATATGCTTAAAATGGAAAACAATATACAATCAACCCTCTCTATAATAGCCTCGTTTGTTCCGATATTTTTTTGACTTTTATAGTGAATGGTTGTTATACACCTATAACAGCAGCTTATGTTTAAATATTTTTTGGTTGTTATAAATTAAAATTATCCAAAATATTAATTATTTTTTCTTTTTTAATGTTACATATAAAAGATTAGAAAATTATTCAAACTTAAAAATCTCAAAAGATATGCATATTTCACTAGTTAAATATTGAAGAAAGCTAATATGTTTTTAATAAATTGATAACTGAATGTATAAAGATTTAAACTCTAAGGCTGACATTTTAAAGCTACCTAAAAAAATAAATTCTTTCAAGACTGATTGAAGAACTTTGTAATTGTATCTTGTTTCGTAGATATCACTCTTTTATTAGCGATATAATGCCTGAATTGGCGAAGATCCGTGTCCAAATTTTCAGCAAAAGAGTATCCAATAACTTTCCTTTGAAGATAATCTTAGAGCTATCTAGATATTTTTTAGAATTTGTCCGATGAAAAAATATCATGTGCAAATCTTAAATTTTATATCTTGTGCAAGATAGAAACATTTTTAATGAAAAAGATTGTGTGCATATTTTTAGAATTATTATTAGTAACATTAAAGATTTAATATTGTTGTTATAGAGGAGTAATTTTACAAAGAGGGTTCTACAACAAATATAGTTGTTGGTGTTATAGGTAAAAAAACTGTTATAAAGAGGTAAAATATAACTTAAAAAAATAAAGAAAAAAATTAATTTTTATAGTGAATAACAGTTACTCCGTATTAGGGGTGTACATAGGCCGGGTTGTTTCGGATTTTGTAATTACCAAACCAAACCAAGTGTGTCGGGTTATTAAATCTAAAAACCAAACCAAACCAATAAAACTCGGGATTTTCAATCTCGGTTTTTTTCGGGTTTTCGGATTGTTCGGGTTTTTTCGGGTTCTTTTTTTCGGTAAAATCTACGTAGGACAACATATAACTTGTGCTCAAAAAATTTCTTTAATCCTAGTAAGATACAACTATATAAGGTATTTTTCAAGAAAATAATACAAAATATGAGATGTGTCATGGCATTATTCTAAATAATTCAACAATAAAGACAATAACATTATGTAATATAAATATTGCTAATTAAAAAGCCATAGTAAAAATAAATATAATCAAAAAGTACTAAGTCATGCTAAAATAAGTAGACTAATAAGGGAGAAATTACATGATTAAACGCTAAAGAAAAAATAAAAATAGGTTATGCATTTTTATCTTAATTATTAAAAAAAAAAAATAGATATTCAATACATTGTCGTTCGTAGTATTGAATTGAATGTCTTTTGTTAGCATTAATATTGATTTGATTTTGGTTGGGCTTTTGTTAGCATTATTTAAGTTACTAATATTAAAGGCTATAAAACTTATTGGAACATTCAAAAGTTATAAGTCCAACCTTGAAATAATACCTTAAAAGATAAAATTATGAAAAAGTTTAAGAATATATATAAATTACATCACAATAAGTATATTTATATATTAAATATCTAAACTTTCTATATATGTAATGTCGGGTTTGTTTGGTTGCGGTTTGACTTTCTTTAGTTAAAACCAAATAAAACCAATTATGATCGGGTTTTTTTTTCCAACACCAAACCAAATCAAACCAAACCATAATCGAATTTTTTTTCTCGGTTTGACTCAGATTATCGGGTTGGTGCGGTTTGTAGGTTTCTTTTGCACACCCCTACTCCGTATATAAGAATTCCCCAATTCAAATAAAAGAAAGTGAAAACGAAATAGCGAAAGAAAAGGGGAACAAACCGTCTGAATAGGTCAAGCAAGTTACCGCATGCAATCCTGTAAACTATAAAATCTCCTGGTCCTCATCCATCTTCGCTTTTGATGTTAGAAAATTGTAAATTGGGTCTACAAATGATGGAACTTAATTTTTTTATTAATGATAGTAAATGTTATTTTTCTCATTTCTAAATTCTTAAAACATTGACATAATATATTACTAGTCAATAACTTTATCAAGAAAAATATTTCCTCCCACATGGAAAAAACTTAAAAAATAAAAATCAAAAGATCATTCACAAAAGGATATCTTTTTTTCTTTTTTTTTCCAAAGGACATTTGTTGGATAACATTTTAATTGGCCGGGTGGGGTTTTCCTAATTCCTATATTTGTTTTTTCAATTCTCTAAAAGTCTTCTTTTCGGAATTTTAAATCTCTGAGTTCCCTATTTAAGAATTTTTTTCCATTTAACTTCTGCACGTATATCCATTTACGTACAAGCACTAATCTCCCTGCAAGCTGCAAACCTGACCACCTTTCCATATATATATATATATTTAGCTTAGGGTTTCGATTCCCATTGCAGAAAAAACCACCTTGTTCTCCTTCACTCTCTCCACCATTTTTCAGAATATGGCTGTGAAAGTAACAAAAGCTGAGAAGAAGGTTAACTATGACAAGAAGCTATGCAAGCTTCTTGACACATATCAACAGATCCTTATTGTGGGTGCAGATAATGTGGGTTCTAATCAGCTACAGATGATCCGCAAGGGATTACGTGGTGACTCTATCGTTTTGATGGGAAAAAATACAATGATGAAGAGGTCTATTAGGATCCATGCTGAGAAGACTGGCAATAATGCCTTCCTTGCCCTCATCCCTTGCCTTGTGGTTTGTTTCTTTTACACCTTTTTTCTTCATTATATATTATGTATTTTCTTACTGCTTCTTTGTTTGCTTGTGGGATATAGATTATTATATCTTTTTGGGTCTTTTCTTATTTTGGTTCTGTTTCTTAGGACCAGAAAAATCGGTACATGCACTTTTTGATTAAGTGCTCTTATGTGTAGTTTCTTATTATGTGTTACATATTTTTTTTTTTTTAGATGGACGTTCAAATTGTCAGACTAGAAACTAAACTTATTTATTTTCTGTTTCTGAGATCCACTAACTCTATTTCGATAGAGAAATATCTTTTTAATATCAGATCTGGCTTCAATAATAATAATAATGATTCTGGAATTTTTTTTTACATGTCTGTGAGATGATCTTATTTTTCTTCCTTTCCTTTTCGGATCACTGTTATATATTTTGGTTTCTTGGGACTAAAGGAATAGGTACTGTTTACCCTTAAGTGGTAAGGTAGAGGGACTTGAGCTGGAATTTGGCTAGTTTATTGTTGTTATTATTATTGTTGTTGGTACTATTAATATTATGTTGTTATTTCTACATTTTATTGTTCCATAAATAGATTAGAAAAATGTTTCTAAATAGAGCAGAATATATAGAGATTCATATCATCAATTTAACTAGTAGTTTGGGTTGAATGGTAATTGATAATCCAACTATAGCATTTAGCGATCTTTAATTGTTGCCTAATGATTCTCTTCGGCTTCCGCCTCATATGTGATATTGTAACAGGGTAACGTGGGATTGATCTTCACTAGAGGAAACCTGAAAGAGGTCAGCGATGAAGTATCCAAGTACAAGGTATAATGTATATTATGATCACATTTTCGTGGCTTATCTACTCATTTAGTAATCGTTAATTTGTTATTGAAATGAACTTCTAGAACAAGATCGATTGGTATTCAATGACTAGCCTTTTGCTATTAAAGTTCTGATTGAATTGTTTCTTTTCAATGAGTTGATTTGGGTCCCAAAATAGTTCTGCAATATTTGAGGATTAAACGCCATACAAAATAGTTTTACATTTATCAATCTTCACTTGGAATTTTTTGAGTTGTGTATACTTAATTTATCTGAAGTATGAGAATTCTAACTTTAACACTTGATAAAAAAAGGTTGGAGCACCTGCTCGCGTTGGCCTGGTTGCACCAATTGATGTGGTTGTTCCTCCTGGAAACACTGGACTTGATCCTTCCCAAACCAGTTTCTTTCAGGTTCAATTCTTTCAATATTTCCTAAGCTGCTTATGCTTTTATCTATAAGGATAATCTCAAAACCACTTGTTTTTAGGTACTCAATATCCCAACTAAAATCAACAAGGGCACGGTTGAGATCACCATCCCTGTGGAGATTATAAAGAAGGGGGAGAAAGTGGGCTCATCTGAGTCTGCACTTCTGTCTAAGTTGGGTATTAAGCCATTCTCTTATGGTCTCATAGTCCAATTTGTCTATGACAGTGGTTCTGTTTTCAGTCCTGAGGTTCTTGACCTCACAGAAGATGATCTTATTGCTAAGTTTGCTGCTGGACTTTCCAATGTTGTTGGTCTTTCTATGCTTCTTTCATATCCTACTCTTGCTGCTATTCCTCACATGTTCATCAACGGGTACAAGAATGTTCTCTCATTTGCCATAGCAACAGAATACTCATTCCCACAGGCTGAAAAAGTGAAGGAGTACCTGAAGGTTAGCACTTTGTGCAATTCTTGATAGACCTTTATATAGGAGTAATTAATTAACCTGTTCTTCTCGACATAATCTGAAGAAAAAAATTTTAACTTGCAGGACCCAAGCAAGTTCGCTGCAGCTACTGCTGCTCCAGTTGCTGCTAAACCTGCTGCTAAACCTGCTACTGCCAAGGAGGAAAAGAAAGAAGAACCTGCTGAGGAGGATGATGATGACTTTGTCGGCGGATTGTTTGATTAAGTAGTTCAATCTAGTGATGGCTTCAGGTCCTATATTAGCAATGATGAATGCTATTATGGGTGTCTATTAGGATGCTTTTAAACAATTTCCATTTTGTTTGCTATCATTCAGTCGTTTCATGCACTGATGTATTAGTTCTGTTGTTTCAGTGGAGTTCTAACTTTTGGATTTGTGTTATCCTTGGCATTTTGTTCCTCTCATTGGCTTTGATTGTTGCATTTGGATATCTATATGCTTCTTGGCCTTAACTTATACTCCCTCCGTATCAAATTAAATGAGGTAGTTTGATTCGGCACGGAGTTTAAGAAAAAAAAGAAAGACATTTGAAATTTGTGGTCTTAAAAGCTTAAGGGGTAAAGCTTTGTGGGGCCATGACTTTTGTGTGGTTATAAAAGTTTATCATTAAGGATAAAATGGGTAAAATAAGGAGTTTAAAGTTGAATTATTTTCAAATTTAGAAATGTGTCATTTATTTTGGAACAGACTAAAAAGGAAAGTACCTCATTTAATATGAAACGGAGGGAGTAATATAGAATCAGAATGCAATATAGCTCTTTCATTCATAGGAATCTTGCTCTAATTTAATTTGCAATGATGTCCAAAAGATTAGACCACCTGGATAAGGATATCCATTTGAAAGTTTAACTTTCATTCATAGTTGGAGAAGAGATTAGCTGATCTTATTACAAACTGAAATTTCCAGAGTGCAGAATTTCCTTGGTGATGATATTAAGTTAAGCTTTGAGTTCAAAGAGTTGCTTAAGTAGAAAGAGGATTACTATAGTTGCTTTGTGTTTGCATGTGGTGGAATCCACAAAGGGCAATTTGGAGAGAGCAAAAACATGCACTTCTCAGTCTAATAAGCTTCCAGTCAGAGCTTAAAGCTCATCGATACTCCTTTTCAGCTTTTGGTGAAAAAGCCCAGAAAATGAATCTCTTCCTCCACGAAATGTCAGTGTAGCTCCCTTAATAATTTGCAGTTACGTTCACAAGCTCGCTTATTATGGAACCTAAGGAGAAAAGGTGTTGGGACTCAGGATAATGTTTTCACCCTTTTGCTAAAATCAGCAGTGGCATTATATGTTGATCTTTTTAATCCAGAGATTCTTGAAATTGAGAATCAGCATACGGTAATAATACACTAGAATTTATATGTTACACGTAACTACGTAAGTGTACATTTACAACTCTCTTTGTCACTATTTTCCCTATATATAACTTTTTTCCAACTATAATAAAATCTTTGAGAACTAAAAGTATGATAAAGACAGCCGCAAGGAAAATGCCAACATTTAAATGGACCCAGATGTTCTTCCTTCTATCCATTGCCGCATTGACCAGGTTTGATGTCTGTTTTCATACACAACAGAGTCAATATATATCCAGTTCCAGTAATTCATCGCGAACTACAAGGGGAAAAAACTAACCTTCTTGTCTGGACCATAAATTGGCCGTTTGTAGCAACGAAATAAATAAAAGAGAATCACAATCTTGCACTAAGTTGTTCATCATACTTGCTGAAGACAATTTCGAAAGAAGCGTATTCCCTGATCCAAAATCAGTGTCATATATTAGTGGCATAACTTCATCCTTTAAAAGCATACAACTATGATTAGCAGGTGTCTCTAAGAAACCAGATCAGAACAAGAGCAACGACATAAGTTCACACCTGCAATGCAAAGGTGATGTCTGCTTCATCTACCTTTAGAGTTACTCTACTTAACTTTTCTTCCCGAGCCTTTCCTACCTTTAGAATCCCCTGCAATTTTATTTACACCTTCAGTTATGCTTCTTCCCGTTCTTTAACTAAGCACTCATGATTGAGAAAGATAATGAGAAAAGGAAACTGAAATGGAGAACATGTTGTTTACATGCTTTTCAAGACTTTACCTGGTCACCTAGCACTCTACACATGCTTGATAGCTCCATGATTCCAACTGGTGGTATTAAAGTTGATTTACAGACATCAAGGTAAGAGATGTTCAGCTGCAACAGATTGTAAAATGTCTCACATCTTGTTTCTCCTTATGATAAGTCTCGCCGTTATAGTAACAAACAGAAATTACCTCGCCTATAGTCGCATCCTTCTTCTTCCCCCTGAATAGCTTGACAGCAGAGCAAAGTATAATCTGCAGCATAATATATTTAAGCATTACTCAGCACCACCATGTGATTTTTGTATGCCCGTACGACAATAATCTAGAAGGACCTCATAAAAAAAGTGGCTCCATTTACATTCTGTGATGATGCTTTTGGTAAAGAGTAAAGACATCATGCAAATCAACTTTTGAATCTAGCTCTTGCGTTCGATGCTGCCAATACACCACAACTATTTGAATGCTTCAACCATAATCCAATAGCTTTGTTTATCGTTATTTTCTTTTTATTTTCTCTTTCTTTGGTTCCTTTGGTGGTCGAGAACATAGAAACTTACTAGGAGATGAAACCAAATGAACTTTAGATATCTTATGTCGAGTAGCCCAGGAATGTTTACCTGTTGATGTTGTGGAAGTGATTGTATAGTATCCACCACTGGTGATCTATATGCCTTCGATAAAGCAATAGCCACATGATCAACCCTAACCTGTTAAAAAGTTCCAACTTATAACAAAACACAAAATGCCATGTAAAAGAAAAAGCAAATGAGGATACAGAATTTATAAAGTTACAGCTAAGTTCTTACTGGAGATTAAGGGGCCAAGATAATTTTAAATAAAAAAGAAGAAGAAGAAGAAGAAGAAGTGCTATTTATGAACTAGATACATATTGCTGGACAATGTGCTCATTGAATAATGAACGTTTAAGTAGAGTAACAAGCAGTGCACTGAAACTAGTAGTACTAGTTACTAAGCAGGTTTAAGCAGCAAGGCAGGTTGTTAAGGGAGAATATAAAACCGTAGCATCGCAGGATGGAATACTACTAGTGATTGCATATAAAAATTCAACTAAACTTGTCTCTTTTATCATATATGAATAATGAGGTCCCTGGGTCTATAACTTACACCTTCGTTATGTGATATATTCTGATCTTCAGGCCTTAGAAATGTCGTTTATAACTCTCAAATACTTTTTTTTAGAAAGGTAACAGTGATAATTCTCAAATACTTATATATTGTGTTTTCCTTAGGCCGGGTTAAGTGTAGAATTTGATATCTCAATGGATCTCAAGGGAGAAAACGAGCACAAATGTGAAGCAGCAGAAGTTCAAAACCAGCTTTAGTCTGCAGTGCAATTACCCTTCGGTCCACCCCTTGAAATTCTAGATTTTATTAATATCTAGAGGAAACTTAATAATATGGAATCAGAGAAAAAGAAGAAAGAAGAAGAAAACTATGCAGATGCTGAATTTGGGAAACACGCTATGACTTGGCTATAAAAACCAGACCGGCTCTCTCAATAAGATCCTCCAGAATCAATAGTTTGACAAACTCAAAACCATAATAACAAGTGAAAATGATGCTAATACTCACAACATTGCTTTCGTGTATAGGTGATTTATCACAAGCACCATCTCTCTGTTGATAAGAAAATCTCCCATGTAATGATGGTAAATCAAGGCTGCTGATAGAATCTCTTATTTCAGCTTCTAACATCTCAATTGCGCTCCTGAAACAAAGATGGAAAGAAAGAATTACTTCTAATCAAGGGAAAGTAGTACAACAAGCTATTGAAACATCCGTGATATATGATCAATATTCTCCTGTGCCTAAACGAAGAACTTAAGCATCAGTTCTGGAAAAATTTACATAGTTATCTGTTAAGAATACTTAACAAAATTACCCCCCCCCCCCCCCCTCCCCCAATGCCAAATAATTCAGACTACCACACATAGACATGCAAACCGTAGATATAGGTTCACTTAGATGCCCGAATTCTGCTGGTTTAGTTAAGTACCAGTATCACTCTATGACTAGAATGAGATATTGTCAAATAAAATAGCATAATAGTTAGGCCATAATCTATATGAAATGGGGAAACTTGGTCAAACTGTGATCAGCCAATCTTGCAGCAATATTCACCAACCTGCAAACCCATAGAGCCTTCCTCATATCTCCGGATGCAGAAGCAACTTTCTGTCACATTAGAAGCACTTACATTAGGAAACTGAGAATTATTTTGAAATAAATAAATCTTGGATTAGTGGTTTGAAGTAGCAATGGATAAATGAAAGCCACTAGGATTCTCTTACTGCATAACTAAACAAAAGGAAATCAAACTAAGGAAAACACAGATGTCAAAGTACCTACCCTTGCACATAGTTCCAATGCTTGAGGCTGAAAGACAGTGTAAGGAAATGCCTGTTCAAGCAGTCAAATTGTAATACAAAGTCTATTAATTACAGAACCATAAGAAATGATTTTGCATCCATGCTTTGTGCAGATAACATACATGGGATGTAAATATCACCAGCAATCTACACATTTTCTTACCTCAAATCTTTGCTGAAGAATGGAGATGATCTGGTCCTTAGAATAGGCACGAAATGTTATAACTGCAGGCTTGCCTGAAAAAAATAAAGCATAAGCCAGAGATAAAGTAGTGGTGTACATACAAAAAGGAATCTAGCATTAGTTGCGTTGAGAGGTTAATTGGCAAACAGGTCCTTTGTACCACATAACCTTGAGAAGAGCTGACGGGGCTTATTTTATGAAAGAAAACTCATATAATACAGAAAATCAAAGACCCCCATAACCAAAGCTAGTCGATTTTCGTCTCTCAAATTGCTTGTGTCAAGACATACTTGAATAACAATTTTTCGCAGCAGTCATCAAGTGTGGTCTGACAGTTTGTAGAGCTTATACTTTCTGTGTTAGCAATAAGAAGCTGGGAGCACAAAAATTTTAACACCTTGAAGACTTAGGTCCAAAAGTTAACACCTATTTTTAACCTCTCCTTCCAAAACTAGATGGAGTCAATGAAGATGGAAAAGAGTTAGAAAGAAAATCTGACAGGAAGGGAAATACTCACAGTTCATGGATTGTAGCTTTGGTAGAAATTTATCAGCTAGGTCTATTGCATTAGCAATTCCTGTCATATGAGCAACCATTATAGAATAAGAGATTCTCTTTTTGTTTACCATACTATAAGTAGTATTAGAAAAAAGTTAAATGATTAGACCAAGAAATTTTGAGCATTTTAGTCTAACAGCACCAGTACCTATCAGAATAAATCTGGAGAAAGGAGACGTTGTTAGCATGAACAGCTCATGAAGCACGACTCTGTCTTTTGTGATTAAATAATCCAACTCATCAGCAACTATTAACCTGTTCAATTATCAAGCAGATAAGTAGTTTGATTAAGAAAATCTAACAAGCACTATAACTTCTTCTTTGAGTTAAAATGACTTTCTTGACATTTTAGGTGTCCGATGATTTTACTTGAAATACAACAGAATCTTGAAAGGGCAAAAAGGGGTCCCCAATTGTAGAAATTATCAAAACCGTCTAAAAGGTGACTCACAGCATCTTTGTGCCCGCTGGCTGCTGCTTCTCAGAAAACATTTTCTGAAGATACTGCAACGGTGCTGTTGAACAATTTAGCTTTCTCCGTGGTTGAATTTTATCAAGTATCTGTAACAGCTACCAAAACGTAAGCAAATGTGCATCGCGTTATTTAGCATCTGAATCAGTATAATAGCAATTTACCTTGCCAAAAATATCAGATGTGTTTGACAGAGAAGTGCAGTTGACGGATAATATGTCTGGAGCCTGAAAGCCAGACTGAAATGAGAAAACAAATAGTTGGTTAGCAATGGTCTTCAGAGAGTTGGATATGCAACTCAGGAAGATAGTTGAAAAAGAAAATCTTTTGCCAACCCCTCAACCACTTAGGGATACTCGCCATTGAGTTTATTCAAGATCAGCTTACAGTCAAAATTGAAATGCTTCTTGCACATGATAAAAAACCAAACATGTCCAAATCAAAACACTGATCTAGCTCTTGGGTTTTGAACTTGTACATGAACCCCATAACCTGAGGACTTAAAACTATGACCAAAGTTTACTCAACTGTGGACAAATCCAGCCGTATGTGTGTATGTTATAAAGCACAATATATCCTTGAGAACCTCAGATCATCAAACAAGAAGAGCAAACAGAAAACAAAACAAACTTCACCAAAAAAAAGGTCCAGCTGACCTGAAAAATTGGTACATTTTTTGGTCAAAAAGTTTTAAGATTATGTACAATAAAGAACAGATGTAAGTGTCTCATAAAAGAGTTACTTGCAATTATACGGTCAAATGAACTCCATTTCCGAGCTAAAAGCCCGGGAATCAAAATAAATTACCCCTTATTACTTTATTTAAGGGTTCTGTAGTAACTGCAATAGCAATATTTTACTTTGAAGACCCAATTAATTCCTCATTTCACTTATCTCAATCCCAGTGAAGTATGGTACATTTGTTAAAGATGTACAGATACTTCACTACATTATAAAAGCGATAGTTAACAATTTGACAGCATTTATTTTCATGGTTTATATAGCACTTCAAACTTTAGGATACTGCAAATGGAAATAGTTCATGACACGGATAGATGAACTTGTTTGGCTAAGGAAATGCAGATCATTAAGCATTCGCGTCATTCCCTCAGAAAACATTCATCGCAAACCAAAAGTCGAGTTTGGAACACACAAGCAATAAGCTATACCTCATCTGCCCAATTAACCAGGACCTCTTTGACCTTCTCCATTGACAAAGACTTTCCAGTTCCTGGGCAGCCACAAACATACAAACTCCCAGCCTTCTCTTTTTCCAAAGCTTGCTTACAAAACTCCAGAACTCTATTCTGCTCAACTTGTCGACACACCAGATTTGATGGGGCCCTAGACACATGCAATGCCTCCTTCACTGCATTTAACTGCTCCATATCTACGGATAGAGATGGTAATTAACACAACTTGAAATGAAAAAATCACATGTCACTGGATATAAAGTTCGAACCCGCAAAATTAAAACAGATTATGTCTCAGTTAAAGAAAGAGTTTCAGTTATGTGCACTGATGGTGTGAAAAATATTTACACAATCACATCATTTCGTAAATACGTCATTTAAAAGGTAATTGCCGGTAAATCTATTTAATAAATACTAAGTAACCTGTTTGTTATAACAAAGTAAGTACAGTGATGGGGTAAAAACTTTATTTAGACTATCAATACACATAACTTAAATCCTTAAAAGTAATAAGAACGACAATTACACCTTAATTCCAAACTAGTTGAGACATGCTAGAAGAATACTAATATATATCAATTTTGCTCCATGTGAGATATTATATTTATTTCAAAAAAAAATGTGGTTCATTAGTGCTAGAGATACTTGACATTCAGCGAATACACAAATCTCTAAAAACAACTCCTAGCAAACATTGAGCCATACCAGTGAACAAACTCGATTTGAGAAATAAGTTAAAGCAAATAATCAAATTCACCTCTTGGATTCCACATAGGCTTCTCAAGAAAACTTTCAGATAATCTCCTTTTCACAGGTGATTTGCTCACATTTTTTGCTTTATCTCCGCAATTCACCTGAATTCCACGGAAAATAAAAGATAAATTAACACGAATCCACTAGGAAAATGCCTTCTATAGGAAAGATATACTGGAAATATCACGTAATCAGAGAAGTTGAGTTACATTAGGAGGAATCTTAGGGCTGTCATTGACACATCGACGCGGTGATTTCCATTTGCACGGAGAGATTTCCATGGGCGATGGAGTTATAGTTGAAGTTACTACATCGTCTTCACTAGTGGAATTGGATCTGATTTTGCGTTTTGAAGGAGTGGAGACTCCGATCTCATTCCTAATAACCGTTTGACCGGCGACTTCGCTACCACCGGAGACGCGTGGCGAACGACGGACGGGGATTGCCGGCATTTTGAACTTCCGATGATTTGATAGCTGTTTAGCGGCGTTCGGCGGAAGTGAAGTGAATCCAGATTGCGAGGATTAAGTGTAATGGTAAATAGTTTAAATAGGATAGATTGTACGAAGAGATTCTATCCGTTTCGCGCGCAAGAGGCAACTGCTACAAGTGCATTTCCCGCCGTTTCGTAGTGTTTTTTGAAGTCACGAGTTATTATTTGTGGATTCCTTAGTGGACTTGCATTGCAAAGCAGTCGGCCCAATACATAAATCACGGCCCAAATATAAATCTGGTTTGTAAAAGAGAAACTTACACAAATATCCTAAATAAGTCTCAACTTACCAAAACTCTAGCCATTAGTCATAGACTTACCAAAACCAGCCAAGCATATATAAAATTTGAAAAATCAAATAAATAAGGTTCTTTTTCTCAAAGAATCACATGCAAAAATTATCTTCCATATTTTTAAGCGTGATTAGCAATATTAGATGCAAGACGAAAAAGAAATTTCATGGATGAGGTAGCAAATAAGGTGATGAAATACAAAAAAAAATATACAATATTCCAAAAATCTAAGCGAAAAAAGGAACTTTTTCAATGGTCATAGTCGAAATTCATTGAAAACATATAGATAAGTCAATATACAAAATTTGAGGAAGATTGGAGGTGATTTGGACTGGTTTTGTATCTAAAATCGTAATTAAATCGAGTTCGAAAAATTCTTCTGCGACACATGTATCAAACATGGATCACGCATGTATCTCACGCACAAGTATACATGGATATACATGTGATACACAATTGATACAAATATGATACATATGCGATACACAAATTATAAACAGTGTGATGCACATATCATTTTTTTTCATATTCAGTTTTTACTTCGAATTTCCAATTCAAACCACCTCAAAACTTCACCAAATCATCCCAAAACTGAGATTCAAGCTCCTTAAGATGTACCCAATATATTCCCATAACACCCATTCAAAAGAAAACAAAAAATTTATATTTTTTGCTACAAATAGCTAATTGGCTAATATTAGTAATATTTGGCTAATATTAGTAATATTTTATGAATTGGCTAATTTTTGTAATGAGCTACTTATAAATGGACATAGTTGGTAGTTTCCCCTTTGCAGGATAATATACTAATTTTTATGAATAATTAATTGGATTAGCAGCCCATATTAGTAATAAACTAAAAATAAACTAATCTAATCATTATATTTTGTTAATACAAGCTTTAGTGTGAGTGCATCGCACGTGTTATAAATATATACAAAAAGTAATAAATTATTGTATGTGTACCCCATACCATTGAGTATACAACTTAAGAATATTAAGTAAATACTATTAAATAATATTTGAGCTATAAAGTAAATAATAAAAAATGTAAGTTTTTTGACAATATTGAAGTTAATCGATTTAGCTAACTTAATAAAAAATAACTCCCGCCCTGCACACCTCAAATGTCGAATTGAGGAAAAGTAGATGAGCAAGCAGCTAAAATGTCCTTATACTCATGATAATTGAATAGTTAGAAACGATATCAGTTGGTTCAAACCTATCTTGATTAAAATTGTCATGACCCGGAATTCCCACCTTCGGGATCTTAATGGCGCATAACATTTCACTTGCTAGGCAAGCCAACGTTAGAGAATTCACAAATCAACTTCAGCCAATTTTTAATAACAGAATTAATTAAGCTAAACAGAGTTTGCGGAATATTATAAAACCCAAAATCTGAAACATTTAGGATCTGGAATCACAACTCACGAGCTACTACGATTTACTACAAACAGAGTCTGAAAAATAATACAGTGTTCTGAAGGAAAAGAAACAGTAAAATAACAAGACTAGGAAGAGGCTCCAGGGTCTGCGGACGCCAGCAGATCTGCCTTGGTCTCCTGACGATCAAGTCCAGCAGCTAACCTCATGATCAGCTAGGGCCGATACCGAAATCTGCACAAAAGTGCAGTGTAGTATCAGTATAACCGACCCCATGTTCTGGTAAGTGTCAAGCCTAACCTCGACGAAGTAGTGACGAGGCTAAGACAAGACACATACATAATAAACCCGTGCAATTTAACAGTATATGTACAAAATAACGGCAAGTAAAAGATAGACAGATAATACCGGGAGGGGGACATGCTGAGGGGATTAGAAGACAGAGAATCACAGCAGTAAAGAAAACTTGATCAACCAGGAACCGAAGGTTTCCTTGTTTAGTACTACGAAAGTAGTTCTACTATTAAGATGTTTAATATTAATAAGAAATATTCAGTGTTGTAGCTGTAGAACATACCGTGAATTAATAATAACAAGTAAACACAATAAAGGGAAATGCACGGCATCACCCTTCGTGCTTTTACTCTCAACCTCACCTTATAATCAATATAAACGGCACGGCATCACCCTTCGTCCATTAACTCTCATAACATGTCACGGTATCACCCTTCGTGCATTAAAACTCACAATAAGGCACGACATCACCCTTCGTGCTTTTACTCTCTCATAACACGACACAGCATCACTCTTCGTGCATTAACACTCTCCCTTACCACAAAACAATGCGCGAAAGACAACAGGGAGATATAAATAACAAGGACAAGTCTTACTTCAACATTTGGTTCCGCAATACCAACCTCAACTTTGAAATCAATACTCAATTATCACCAAAAGGTCCGTAAACATGATAAGAACGAACAACTTGATTATACTAGTCTAAACATGGATAACATGATAAAAAAAAGCAATAATTACAAGAAACCAAGCCCCACCTGCATGCTTTACCCGTCAACAACGCATAGGTACTCGTCACCTCACCTATACGTTGCACCCAACATCTAAACACGTATCAAATAGACAATTAAGTCCTAATCCCTCAAGTCAAGGTTAACCACGATACTTACCTCGCTTCACAGTCAATTCAAATGCTCTATCGGGGCCTTTCCCCTAAAATTCGCCTCCAAACCACTCGTATCAAGCCACAATTAACTCAATAACATCAAATATTGCTAAAGGAATCAACTACAATGCATAAATTTAGATTTCTCAAACTTTCCCCTAAAAAGTTAAAAATCCACCCCAAGCTCGCTTGATCAAAACCCGAGGTTCAGACCAAAATCCATTTATCCATTCACCCCCGAGCACGATTATTTAATTTGTTTCGAAATCCGACCTCAATTCGAGGTCTAAATTCCAATTTTACAAAAATTCCTAATTCTACCCAGACCCCCAATTTCCACCATGAAAACTCTAGATTTTAGGTTGAAAGTTCATGAAATGTAATGGGTAATTTTAAAAAAGTAGGTTAGAATCACTTACCAACAATTTGGGGAAGAAATTATCTTTTGAAAATCGTCTCTAGGTCTTCTAGTTTTGAAATTTTTGAAAGAATAGCAAAATCCCGTTTTTGGTTCTATTTTTAATAACTGGGCTTCAGGCCTTCTGTGCGTTTGCGAGGGCTTGCCGCATTCGCGAAGGGTAGCGACCCAGAAGGCCTACGCGTTTGCGAAGGATTGCACGCGTTCGCGATGGTCTGTCCCCCCTGGCCATCGTATTCGCGAGCCTTGGCTCGCGTTCGCGTAGAACAACCCACCGATCCCTCCCCCAGGTCAATAACACTACGCGTACGCCTTGAGCTGGTCGCGTTCGCGAAGGGTAAAGCCCCCATCGCTTCGCGTTCGCGACCCGGCCTTCGCATTTGCGAAGTAGAAAACTCAGACCAGTTCACTCTTCGTGTTCGCGAGAGTACCTTCGCGAACGCGAAGAAGAACACACCAGAACACCAGCTGCAGCAAAATACCAGATTTTTCTAAGTTCAAAACATCCCGTAGCCTATCTGAAACTCACCGAGCCCTTGGGGCTCCAAACCAAACATGCACATAAGTCCTAAAACATCATACAAACTTGTCCGCGCAATCAAATTGCCAAAATAACACCTATAACTACGAGTTGAATACCAATTCGAATGAAATTTTCGAGAAAGCTTTAAAACTTCTATCTTCACAACCGAACGTCCGAATCACACAACTGATAAAACAAGAATTTTTGCCTTAAAAGTTAAATTTAGTTGACTTCGGTCAACGTTTGGAGAAAACGAACCCGGATCCGTGTTTTGACGGTCCCGGTGGGTCCGTATCGTAATTTGGGACCTGGGCTTATGCCCGCTATCGAATTCCGAGGTCCCTAGCTCGAGATATGAATTTTTGTTGAAAATTGAAATACTACAAATTTAATGGTTTCTAACAATTGATTGATGTTTGGTCTTGTTGATATCGGGTCCATATTTTGGTTCCGGAGCCCGGTATAGGTCCATTATAATATTTAAATCTTGTTTGTGAAATTTGGTGAGAAACGGAGTTGGTTTTAACATATAAGCCTTCCGAAAAAACTCCCGGACTGTGCACGCAAATCGAGAAAGGATAAAATAGGATATTTAAGGATTTGGAACATAAAATTTAATTCTAAAACATGAGATGACCTATCGGATCATCACAAAAATACAAAGCATTCCTAGCTTTTTAGACTTGCCATAATATTAACACTTAAATTTAGTAACTCTATCGTCTCAGATATTGCTTAGTATTTGAAACCAATGTATACCACCAAGATAAAAGATCATTAATGTTTTCTAAATCAAGAAAGTTATAGGACCTAGTTTTCACACAAGTTGAGAATGAAAACATCAAAAATTTATATGCTCAACATCCTCACTTTCAGAACCACGTATATTACATATTCTCTCCACACTTGATATCTCTTATCAAGATTATTACCTATAGGTAAGGAATTATGCAGACACTTCCTTAGGAAATGCTTATGTTTATCTCCCAGTTTCCACAGCAAGGGTCCAAAAATGATTTAGGAAAGAAATGACAGTTAAACTAAGCATCTAAACTACAATTGGGCTTTCTACTAAATATTGGAAAGTGGTTCAGGTAGCTCAGCTGGTTAGAGCAAAGGACTGAAAATCCTTATGTTAGTGGTTCGAATCCACTTCTAAGCAGGCAGCGCGACTTATATCTGTGGCCCTATGCCCGACCATGCCAAGATGTGATACCAAGAGAGCCATCGCAACCACTGATCTATCATTATCTCTCATCTCTACATCTCTCCTCTTCTCTCAAGCTCCTTCTTAGATTGAATTCTGCTGGTTGATAAGTGTGGATTTTGACCACTTA